AATAAAGATGAGAAGAAACTCAAGGACTAGAGAGGCTAGAGAAATGGAACACATCAAAGAGAAGTGAGTGATTTACTCTTAAATCATTACGTGTATAGTGAATGCAACTTTGACTATCACTGGGGACAAAACAATTGTTGAAAGTTTCTTTTGACAGAGTTTGCTTTCAGTACTCCTGCGTTGAATTAATGAGAGGATTTTCTAAGGTTGTCAAAAGAGTGTAGCTACTGAATCACAAGAAAAAACAGACTCACAGAAAACCTCCTCAGTCCTCTGGTTCCTACAATCCTTTTGCCCTTCTTTCACAATGTTCCCTGAGACTTAGGTGTGGAAGTTGTTTTGTAGATGTGTCATCCAATGTGAATGGGCTCCACAACTCTGTATTTTGAATGATTGTGGTTTCAGGTAATGGTCTCATAGTCTCACAAACATGACTGCCTAAACATGAACTGAATAAGGACAAAAGCAATGAACATGATAAAGTGGGTGGTGGTGGTGATCATGGGGACCCACTAGGCCTGAACTCTTCACAAAGAACTACAGGGCAATTAAGGCATGCTGAGATCTAGAGAAATCTATGAGATCTAGAGAAATCTACCTAGAGGATCTGGGGTCCTCATCATGGTCAACCCTGAAAATATATGTATGTGTAACATTATACAAACTGAGCAGGTCTTGGAGGATTAGAGATAGATCTCCCTTGGAAAGAGACTAGACAGCTATGGATGGAAGATGTGTCCTTGACTGGGAGGATCAAGAAGAAAGAGGGGTGAGAGGGAATATGTGGAAAGATAGATAAAATTAGAGGCCATTAGAGGGGTAGTGTTGAAGCCTGATACAGTAAAAGCTTTCTAAATTATTTACATATATGAAGGCCATATAAATGAAATTAACAACTAATGTTGCAGACAGAGCCCCATCTGGTCACCTTTTGTCATTAAATGAAACTTCCAGTCTCAGGACTTGGTTACATCTAATTGAGATGTTGGCCATAGGGGTCCTATGGTAAGCCGCAAATAACTGAGGCTGTTGTTAAGTCTATAAGTTGCAATCCAAAACTTGACAGCCCAGCTCCATTGCTGATGAAAACACCCACACAACTTACTGAAATTAGAGAAGTCCAGCTGCTGCCTACTTAGAGCCTTCACCCCTATGTAATAGCATCTTTGGTAAAAGGAAAATTCTCGTCATGCTAAGGAAAAACATAAGCATCAAACTAGTCACAAGCCTTTTGAAACAGTCATCAAAAGTCTCCCATCCAAAATAAGCTCAAGACCAGATGGTTGCAGCACAGATTTCTACCAGACCTTGAAAGAAGAGCTAACTCCAATACTCTCCAAACTATTACACAAAATAGAAATAGAAGAAACATTACCAAACTCATTCTATGTATCCACAGTCACCTCGATACCTAAACCACACAAAAACCCAACAAAAAAGAGAACGTCAGGCTTATCCTTCTTATGAACATTGATGCAAAAATACTTAATAAAATACTCGCAAACCAAATCCATGAACAAATAAAAGATATCCACCATGACCAAGTTAGCTTCATCCCAGGCATACAGGGATGGTTCAATATATAAAAATCCATCAATGTAATCCACTATATAAACAAACGGAAGGAGAAAAACCACATGATCATCTCCTTAGATTCCAAAAAAGCATTTGACAAAATCCAACACCCATTCATGTTTAAAGTCGTGGAGAGGTCAGGGATACAAGGCACATACCTAAACATAGTAAAAAAAAATCTACAGCAAACCTATATTCAACATCAAACTAAACAGAGAGAAACTTAAATCAGTTCCACTGAAATCAGGGACAAGTCAAAGCGGCCCACTCTCTCTGTATCTCTTCAACATAGTCCTTTAAGTCTTAGCTAGAGCAATAAGACAACTAAGGGAGATCAAGGGGATAAAAATAGGAAAGGAAGAAGTCAAAGTATCACTATTTGCAGACAATATGACAGTATACATGAGAGACCACAAAAAATTCTACCAGGGAACTCCTTCAGCTGATAATCACCTTCTGCAAAGTGGCTGGATACAAAAATAACTCAAAAAATCAGTAGCCCTCCTGTATATGAAAAACAAAAGTGCTGAGAAAGAATTTAGGGAAACTACACCCTTCACAAGACCCACTAATAACATGAAGTACCTTGGTGTGACTCTAACCAAGCAAGTCAAAGACTTGTATGCAAACAAACTTCAAGTCTCTGAAGAAAGAAATTGAAGAAGATTTCAGAAGATGGAAAGATCTCCCATGCTCATGGCTTGGCAGGATTAATATAGTAAAAATGGCCATCTTACCAAAAGCAATCTACACAGTCAATGCAATTCCCATGAATTTACCAACACAATTCTTTACAGACCTTGAGAGAAAAAATTCTCAACTTCATATGGAATAACAAGAAACCCAGAATAGGTGAAACAGTCCTCTACAGTAAAAGACCTTCTGGAGGTATCTCCATCCCTGTTCTCAAGCTGTAATGAGAGCAACAGTAATAAAAACTGCATGTTATTGGCATAGAAACAGAATGGTGGATCAATGGAATCAAATATAAGACCCAGAAATAAATCCACGTACTTACGGACACCTGATTTTTTTTTAAAAAGATGCCAAAACCATACAATAGAAAAAAACATAGCACCTTCAACAAATCATGCTGTTCTAAATAGATATCTACATGTAGAAAAATGTGAATAGATCCATACTTATCACCCTGCACAAAACTCAAGTCCAAGTGAATAAAAAACCTCAACATAAAACCAGAAACACTAAAACTATTAGAAGAAAAAGTGGGGAAGAGCCTTGAACTCACTGGCTCATGAGACAACTTGAACAGAACACCAGCAGCATAGGCTCTAAGATCAACAATCGATTTTTGTAGTTTTAATGCTTTCTGCTTCTTTAAAGGCCAATGAATAAGAAAACAGTCCTGTATAATCACATTACACTAAGAACACTGTGGTGTGTATATATATATATGATTATATATCAGAATACATTTTGCTAAGGCCATGAAAGGATTTGTAAGAAATGTCCCTTCTCTTTTCAGTGATAGTAGTTTAAAGAACTACAGTTGGAGTACTAGGTATATCATAAGCAACATATAAATGTAAAATAAATATTTTTAAAAGATAGTGTCTCCTAATTGAAACTATTAGTAAGATAATTTCTATGGAAAAGTTTTTAAAATTTTGTGGAAAATATATTTTCATTTTTAAAACTTGTGTGTATGTGCATGCATGTGTGTTGAAGACCCAGATTGGCCCTGGATATCTTCTTGAATCACTCTCATCTCTCATTTGAAAAAGTCTTGGTGAATGTGGATCTTATTGATTTGGCTAGACAAACTAGTCCTCGAGTTCCAGGTATATTCCTGTCTCCCATTTTGTTAGCATTAGAACTATAGGCAAGTACCCAACTTTTTATATGGCTGATAAAGAATCTGAACTCAAGCCTTTGTGCTTATGTGGTAAAAACTTTATCAATTAAACCATCGTCCTATTAATTTCATATAATTTTTTAGACACATACTACAACACAGATATAAAACTGCCATAGAATTGTACATTTTTGGTCATGGTACCAATGAGACCTTTGCTGTCGATGAGTTATTGGCATGTTGTTCATTATAAGTAAGTCATGGTTAGTGGTTAATTAATGGTTGATTTGAAAACATCCTAAAACATAATGTGTACAGATCACAGCTAATGTACAAAAATATTTATGGTATTGATGCCAGATTTGCTTATGATTAGTATATTCAGTATTGCAAAATTTTGCAGAGACCCACAGTTTACATTAATTTGCTAGAATATTCACCAAAAATTATTTACTTCGTGGTAAACTATGTAACTAGAGCATATTAAAGACATAGTAGCTGTCATCATGAGGTGGAAATGTTTTCCATAACTGATTTTAACAACAGACAGCTTAAAACTCAGAGAGAAGAAGCAAAATGTATGCTGATTATCTTCTCTTTCTGAGCCTAGGTATCTGAGTTAGGGCAAGGTGTTCACTCTAAATATGAAATCAAATGTAGAAAGATTTGCCTTTTGCTGGAAAGGTATCAACTCCTTTATTTATGATATTGATGCTTGGCACAGTGGTGCACGCCTGGAATATCAGCACTCAGAGAGGCTGAGGCAGGTGGTTCTTTCTGAGTTTTGTGAGTTTGAGGCCAGCCTGGTATACAAAGAAAGTGAGTCCAGAATATCTAGGGCTACACAGAGAAACCCTGTCTTGAAAAAAACCAATGAGAGAGAGAGAGAGGATATTGAGAAATATCTTTATATCATCTCACACTTTTGTTAATATGTACAAAATTCTGTATTTAACATTTTGATTTCAAATAAGAGAAAACACTGACAACCTGATATAAAAGAAAACATGAGATCTCTGTTTTACATATTAAAATGGTAATAAATAAGTTATAAAAGAAAATTGTGATCATTACTACTTTAATTTGGATTTTTATTTTTAACTTAAAATATCATTATTTTGAAATTTTATCTTAATCTCACATGCTCACCTCTTCATTAACTAAAGAAATTTTTACTATGTTCCTCGCATTTTATTTTTTATTACCACCCTGATTCACTCACTTCAACTATTTCTCCAGCTCTTGTCCCTTTTCAGTTTGACATTTGTGAATGAGGTGATATTTTAACTATTCTTCCTCACCTCCAAACATTTTTTTCTCCAAGAAAAGAAAAGGTGTCAGTCTAGAACATTGTCAGTCATTAAAAATATAAAATATTGTGGCTTCTTTTCATGTACGTTATACATAGTATAGTAAATATTAGGTAAGTGGTTATTAGAAGAGTGGATGGATGTATAGAAGGGTGGACTTAAGTGAAAGAACGTATGGTGAAGTTTTTCTGGATGGAAGCTCTATTAAACTAATTATTAGTAAATCACATGTTTAGTGTGATAGAAAATCAATTTTTCTCTCCCTTAAACTTTTTTTTACAACTCCTCCCCTGCCATAGATGCTTATACCAAAGCTGAAGTGATTTATTCTTGGACTCTTGGGAAGAACAAATCTGTGGAAGTAGCACAGGATGGCTCTCGCCTGAATCAGTATGACTTGCTTGGCCATGTTGTTGGGACAGAGATAATCCGGTCTAGTACAGGTACTGCCTTATTTATTTGTTAAACTATGTAATCTGTACCATATGCCAACATTGTGTTTATAACTTATTTAATATTTATAGTAGTTTTGAATAGTATTACAATGATGAAATTGAAGCATATAGGAATTCAATAATTTATCCTATGTTGTTTATGCAGTGTCAGAGTCTAAGAGTGAACCCAAGCAGTAAGTTCTTAAGTCACTCTGGAACTCAGTGCCCTGATATCTCTTAAGAAGTGGGGCAGAAGGTAAAGGAAGTGTGATAGAAACAAGAAAGGCTATGGTGATAAGGTCACTGAGCTTAGCTCACAGAGGGTTCTTTAGAACATTTACTCAACCCTGCAGTAAGTTATTAACCCTACTAGGCAGTAAGTTATTCACCCTACTAGGCACAGTGCCCGGAAATCCAAGAGTAGTCAGCAAACTCTTTTCCTCAGTAGATCACACACCTCAGAGAAAACTTTTTTTGACAAACCCTTTAAAGTCTTCTCGATAGTTTATTTTTTTTTATAAACAAAGGCTTATTAAGAGACTTGTTCTGTAGTATGCAGTTGGTCCATTTTTATACTAACTGATTCAAGGGGCCCAATAAAAATTTAAATTTACTTGAAATAAAAAAATAGCAAAAAAAGAAAACAGGTAATTGGGAAAATGTAATAGATGCTAGGTCCCACATGTCATTAAATAATACTTTGGGCTAATACAGGATATAGGTTTTCAACATTTTCAAAAACGATTCTTTGTGAGTCCACAATTACTGACAAAGTTAGGTACACAGTCATCCTTTTATTATTAGGATATATGCTGTGACTTCATGATGTTGTGCCTTTTCCTGGGGCCCAGGAGTTTCCTTCCTCAGAACTGTATTCTGCACCAATTCATTGTGTTCCCTGTCCTGGTCCCCCTCTGAACCATCTACTTGGCATCAAATTTGAAGCTCAGTCTTACTGGCTATCCAAGCAGTACAAGATTTCATTTCACAGTTTAATCACTCTTTCAGCTCTATGGCATGGAAAAATACATGTTCACGATAAGAACATTAAAAATGCATGGAGAAGCCACCAAACAAATTCCGATAAAACCAACTCAGTGTATCCATGGACTTTCTATCTGCAAATTCAATCAACTGAAGAATGTAAATCTGTCCTAATTGTATACTAAACATGTATAGAAGTTTTTCTTGTCATTCTCCATACAACATAGTATGAATTATTTGTATTGTATCTGATAGTTTAGTTTTAAAGGGCAGTGGAGCTGAACAGCATAGGTTTTATACACATATTATGCAATTTTATTCAAGAGACTAGAGAATTCAGGAATTTTTATGTTAATAGGGGGTTTCTGAAATCAGTCCAAGATATAGAGTTTAACTGATTAACTGCATGTCCTAGAAAAATGTAAGAAAGGGGCTAGAAAGTTGCCTCCGTGTATAAGAACACTGGCTGCTCTTACAGAGGACTTGGGTTCAATTACCAACACATACACAGTGACTCACAACTATCTGTAACTCCATTTGCAGGAAATATGACAGTCTCGTCTTACATACACAGGCATCCACAATCATGTACACACATACACACACACACACACACACACACACACACAGATACACATGAGGGATTGGGTAGAGGTGGATGAAGAAGTTAGATAGGCAAACACAGAAATGAAGATTAAAAAATCTAAAATAGAGAAATTTTCTTATAAGATTTGAATATATATATTGATTTTGTACATATTGATATATAGGAGAATTTCCTTTGCATTTTTCAGTAACCCAAAAGTTGAATTAAATGACATTTTAAAACACTGAAATATAAGGACACATATAATTTCCTCTAGTCTATATTTTATATATTTTATCTACTATTAATATTATAATTTTGTAAAGTTTTCATGTCATTAGATGTATAGGAGCCAAGAAAAATCCATATATAATTCAGTAATAATATATTAGCAATTATAATGATGCTATTAATACTGTTTTTTCGTTACTTTAAATGAAAGTAAAATAATAAAATTCCCTCTTTCAAGGCCAGAGAATTCTTAATAATTATTTGTATTTTTCTGTGGAAATTGTAGCATTTCATTGCTGAAACCTAGCAAAATAATAGTTTCATTTGTAATGGCAGTGTGCAGGGCTCATAGCCTACTTAACCAATTACCTACCATTATGCCCTGTGTTTAATTCTATAAACAATATTGTGTAGACTCTCCTTTTCCAGACAGTATTCTGCTACGGTGCAATTATCTGTCTATAATCCAGACAGAACATTTTTGAAAATAATACATGTTGACAAACTGCTGCTCTGAAAATTTAACCAATTCCTTTTCCCACTGCCCCTGTATGAGCACCCAAGTTTTGCTTTCTCCTTACCAATACTGGAATTACGAATTCAATTATTTTCCTTCAAAGATATGCCAAAGTGTTAACTATTAGAATATGACCTTATTTTGGAATGCTGTAATTATTAATGTAGTTACTGAAGATAAGGTCATCTTGCACAAATGTAATATAATTGTTCTGATGAAAAAGGGAAGTTTAGACAGAGTGAAGTGTAAGCATGAGGGACTATATGAACACAATGGCTGTGAGCAGTCCATAAGCAAAGAACTGTCAAGTGTTTCCTGCAAACAAGTTAAAAGTAGTAAGAGAAAATAGTCCCTTACTGAAACTGAAACCTTTAATATCTAATACCTGAGATTCCTCTAGAGCAGCCTCAGCAAATTAATGCAGGATGAAACTCTTTTATTTTTCTTACCAATGAAGAAATTAACACATGCTTGATGATGAAATTAATAATTATTAATTTCTTAGAATCTAACATGTACCTATAACAGCATTAAGGACATGCATTAACTTATTTTAACCCTGAACAGCAATGTGAGGTGAGCAATGTTGTTCCAGATCTCTGAATAAAGAAATCATGAATCAGAATCAGACAAATTTAGTTATTTAAGGATTTATATTTTAGTTCCCTCCATATTTGTTATTTTATTTATTTATTTATTTATTTATTTATTTATTTATTTATTTATTTATTATACTGTGTTCTGTCTGCATGTACACCTTCATGCTAGAAGAGAGCATCAGACTTCATTATAGATGGCTGTGAGCCATCATGTGGGTGCTGGTAATTGAAATCACGACTGCTGGAAATGCAGCCAGTGCTCTTAACTTCTGAGCCATCTCTCCAGCCCTGCATATTTATAATGTGCTTATACTGCTGTGTCTTTTTACTTTCAGAGATATAACTTTTTACTTTTAGAGATTTTTGAGGGTTGTGAATGTTTTGTAATAAAGCTTCAAATATTTTATATGTAACTCAGAAGGATCTTAATAGGCTGGAGAACAAAATCAGGGAAAACTCCTCAAACCACTCACATAATCATCCTTCAGAAAAACAAATGCACAAAGAAAGCAGCAATAGAGGCACAAACGAAGGGAACATAGCAGTCCACCTCAACAGTAATTTGGTAAGCTCTTCTACATTTCTAGTTTGAATAATAGATAATTATTTATAAAATGGGCACAGTTCTGTACCCCTGTAATCCCAGCACTCTGTGAGGTAGAGGTAGGCATATTTCCATGTATTTGGGGCCAGCCTGGTCTACAAAGTCCAGGACAGGCAAGGATATACGGAGAAACCCTGTCTCAAAAAGCAAAACAATATAATTTATAAAATATTTATTGTAGTTACCATTTCCTTTACAACAGAGATGATACCCAGTATGCTAAAAAGCTGGAGCTCGATAGTGAAAATAGGAAGGAAGATGAAACAATCCTCCAATGTCATGGAAAGCTGAGTTTTCACTTTGATAGAAAAAAATAGAGAAAGATGCTAGGAAATGTTGGCTATTTATTTGAAAAGAAATTGTCAGTGAATTGATTGGATGGATTGATTTGCTAAACATTTGTGAATATGCTAAAGTCGACCTTCATTTTTCTCTTATACTTTTCCAATGGACCCAGATAATCTGCCAAAAAAATTTAAAGGCAGAAATAAGAATTTGCTCCTCAACCAGTACAACGCTATAGTTCTCTATAAGAAGATAGCCTTTGCCATTTGGAACAAAGAAAGTAAGACCAATAATGAAGAAAGGACAAAAAAAACATGAAGAAAATATTTTCAGTTATTTAAAACCAATGGTTTATTTGATAAACATTTTAAATTTGTCTTCATTTCATATCATAGAGTACAACTAAGAATATTAAATAGTATATGGTAACATTAATATATCAATTATATTTTACAAAATATATTAAATATTTATATGAATTAGGAATATGATCAATAAATATGGATTAATAATTAGTAAATATTATTAGGAATATTAAATAGTACTTGGTAACATTAATACATCAATTCTAATTTACAAAATACATTAAATATTTTACATGAATTATGAATGTGATTAATAAGTATGTGTTAATAACTATGTAAACAAAATTTACCAATGGTCAAGCTAATCAAAGTACAACTCTTAAGAAAAATAAGTCCTCCACTCAGTAGGAAAAAGTAATGCAAAGGTAATGGAAGCAGAAAAAAAAGAAGTAAGGCAAAAAGGAAGTCTGATACAAAGGCAAATACAGAGAGAAAGGGTAAATATGATACTAAACATTTTAACTATTTTAAATTTTGTCTTAAACACCTGACAGCTACTAGTTTTGGACATGAGATAATCTGTTGGCAGAATCAGTTCAGAAGAGAATAGGGGATAGAGAAAGAAAATATCACAGTGCCTGTCAGAGACCTGAAGAGTGATGACAAATAGCTGTATGAATATATAGATCTAGCTACAGTTTAGAACTCAAAGACTCCTATAACAAGTTATTACCATCTTGATGACTTAAAACAGACTAAACTTGTCAAGTCTCCTAAGGACTGCCTGGGTCCTCTTCCTCTGTGGCCTGGTAAGGCTGCATCACCAGGAGTAAGTGATCAAAGAACAACCTCGTTCATGACAGACACAGACCCTGCTCCTCTTACTTGGTGATCCACATGGAGAGTGAGCTGCCAATCAGCTACATCTGAGCAAGGGATGTAGGTCCTCTCCATGCATGTCCCTTTGTTGGTGCAAGGACCCCGTGCACCAGACTCTGCAGGACTCTGTGGTCTCAGATTTTTTAGCTTTGTTGATCTCCTTGTGGGGCTCCTGTCCCCTGCATGTCCTTCTACCTCTACCCCTCTTCTTCCTTAAGATTGTGGGCTATGGGAGATGGAAATAGCACAGAACTCCCCCTTTCAGTGAAGTAGGGGAAGGGGATAGGGGAGAAAAGGAAGGGATGGTGAGACTGAGAGGAGTTGAGGGAAGGGGACTTTAATCAGGTTATATAATGAATAAATTGAGAAAAAAAAAACAGATTCAATCTTTTGTCTCTCAAATCTGGAGTTTTAGAAATCTATAATCAAAGCATTGCCAGGATTATTTCTGTGTAGATATGGTGAGGAAGAATCCGTTCCTTGCCTGTTTATAACTTCTTCAGAAGGTGCTCAATCTTTAATGGTGTTTGCATTGAGGATAAACTACTGCTACTCATGGAAAATGAAAGGATTCACCTATGTCAAAGGCTATTGAAGAATACAGAAGATTGTGATTCACTGATTGATGTAGACAGAGTAATAATTAGTATGGATTGTTGATTGCCACATGTTAGCAACTCTGTTGAAAGGGATATATATATATATATATATATATATAATTTATAATATATCAGTATATATTATACAATATATATAATATCACACAGCAAAATGTGATATTATAAAATTACTATTAAATATATATTAAATTATTATTATTAAATATATATATCAGTATATATGTCAGTAATATACATATTGATATATACTGATATTAATGATATATATATATCAGCTCACATTTTGCTATGTGAACTTTAAAAGCAATTTATGTATTCATATGTATGTGTGTGTGTCTGCTTGTCTGTATGGACATCACAAGGTCTGTGTATACATTCAAGGTCTCACGGGAGAGCATTGAGCGAGTGAGTATAAGCTCCTCTGGAGCTGGAATTTCAAGTGATTGTGTGTTACATGATGTGGGTGCTAAAAACTGAATCTGGGTCCTCCATAGGAACCTGTACATGATCATCATAGCTGATCTTTCTCTCCAGCCCCCACGTGATCTTTTGGTTCTAATAATAATAATAATAATAAAATCATCTTTGGAAGAGTAGCAAAGCATAGTACTGGAAAGTATAAACTGTGGATTCAATCCATGTGGGGTTAATTTTGAGCACCAGTTACTAGTTACTATCTGGGTATCTATGCAAGGTGCTCGGTCCCTTGTTGCTTGAGTGTCTTTATGTATAAAATGAGTGCCACAGGAGTCCCTACTTCATAGGACCATTGTGAAGATTACATATCTTGATAAAGTGTTCCATGAGTATATAACATGCAGTAAGTGCTTTCTTTATAAAATATCATTATTTCTCACTACATAAATCAAAACATGATTTGAATGAACTTGTCAAACATGCTCTGACCAAGTTCTTATGGCATATTATTAGGGTATTTTTCACATGAAAATATATTTCATAATGTTTATTTAAGAGCTCAAAAATTTAGAAAGTGTCAGGATATCTGAACTTGAGTATAAAATTGAGTATCTCTGGGACAAAGAATTGGGACCCAAGCTGCTTTAACAATGTTTGTATAACTCCACACTGCCAAATTTTATTCTCTGTCCAGGAGAATATGTCGTCATGACAACCCACTTTCATCTAAAGAGAAAAATTGGCTACTTTGTCATCCAGACCTACTTGCCATGTATCATGACTGTCATTCTGTCACAAGTGTCTTTCTGGCTTAATAGAGAATCTGTCCCTGCTCGTACAGTTTTTGGTAAGTGTTGCTTTATGGAGAATGGGGGAGAAACACTTGCATAGTCATAATAAAGGTAAGAAAGTTGGAGAAAACCATTGTTTCAGATACAGGATTTGTGTCTAAGCCCAATGGCAGTAATAGCATCATTAGCTGCTGGGATTACAAGCAACTGAATTCTTAACCAAGGAGCAAGGATAAAAATGAAGCAGTACAATTACTCAAACATTCCTTATCTAATTTCATCATGGGAACCAGGAAATATTGAGTCTTCAGTAAAAAAATATACAAACTTAGTGTAGAGAATAGAAAAAGTCAAGAGTGGAAAACCAGCCTGAAATTAGAGAAGTAAAGTAGATTGTATCTTGTAAGGTATCATTTTCATTTAAAGATATATTTTATGTGTATGAGTGCTTTTCCTATATGTATGTATGTATGTATGCACTATGTGCATGCCTTGTGACTTTGAAGTTAAAAAAAAAAAGGTGTAAGATGTGCCTAGAACTAGATCTATAGATGGCTTTGAGTGTAGTGTGAGCTGAATCTGGGTCCTTCTCTAAAAGTAACAAGTGATTTTAACTGCTGAGCCATTTCTCCAACCAGCCAGGTATGATTTTGTGTGTACATATATGACTGATTTGTTGCATATGCTCAAGCATTTGGAGAGCTTAAATTCACTGATATTTACTAAAGGCTGCATGTATTTTTAAATGGGTTCTTGAATCAGAGAAATTTACTTCAGTATGAGGTTACTTATATCTAGGAAGTAGTTTGTACAACATTGGCCCAGTTTTCCTCAGAGACTTAAACCATACAAAACAATTTCTGCCGAATTTTCCCATGGCAAGATTTTCAAAGCACAAAAGTTAATTCTGTTAGGCTCTTGAACCACTGGGGAAACAGAGATTGTAAAGCATACACTCAGATATGCTACATACACATACAGAAAGCATTTATACCAATATCTTGAAACTATACAGTGTTGTTACATCAATAGTAAATGATGTTTCAGAGAGAAGTAACACATTGGGTCAGGTCCAGGAGGAGATAATAGCAGATAAAGAGAAAGTACAAAACCATAAGAAAGGTATAACATGAAATCAAAAGGAAAGTATTTAGTGGCAGTAAAATAAACGTGATCTGAAGGTTCACTCTGAATTTCTGTAAAACCCAGGTAGAAACTGTTTCTTCATTACTGTGACACATTTGAATATTACTGAAGTAGAGGAAACACAATATTTATGGGTATGAGTTAAAAGTGGTCATTTTTAAAGGAAAAACTGTGATCAGAATATATTGTATGGAAAAATATTTTCAATTAGAAAGTGGCCATTTTAGCTGTGTTACTGGTTTTGACAAATAAGTATCTGAGTTTTAAAATATAAAAGAGGATGCTGAGCTTCGGTAATGTTAAAGACTATAACTTAAGCTATGGTACACTGAATAATATCCTCTAAAAATTCATCTCCTACTCTCTGGGATGTGGAACTGTGACTGTATATGCATATGATGAAAATGAATCTTCAGATATGATACAGTTGAAGATTTTCAGCTGAAGAGATTGTTCTGCATTTTCAGGTATTTAAGTACAGAAGAATAAGTATTTTAATAAAGGAACCAAGATAGACTTTTAAGATGTCCTGCAGTTGTCTTTTAGAAAGAAGGAAGGACTCACTGGGCAAGAAATGTGATGAAGCTTTGAAAGCTGCAAAAGGCGGTAGATTATTATTATAACAGAGCCTTCAGAGGGAGTGAGGCCCTGGTCAAGATTGGCCTTGACTCAGTAAAAGTAATATCAGGCTTATTGTGCCCAGATCTGTAAGTACAGGTTTGCGGTACTTTAAGCCACTACATATGTGATACCTTGATACATCAACCTTAAGAAACTAAAACCAAAACTATTCCTACAAATCTAATACCAATGAAGGGTTGTGAAGTAATGGAAGAGAAAATTAAACTATACATAGGATAGAGAGATAGCGTGAAAACATTTTTTGTTTATTTTGGCATAGAGTATGTGTGAAATACAGGCTTCCTTGAGAATGTATTATTTCAATAGTTTAAAATCGTCCTCATACTCATTTAGAATTCTTTTTTTTTCTTTTTTTATTATTTTTTTACACTTTATTCACTTTGTATTCCCCCATAAGCCCCTCTCTCCTCCCCTCCCGATCCCATCCTCCCTCCCCCTTTTTCACGCATGCCCCTCCCCAAGTCCACTGATAGGGGAGGTCTTCTTCTCCTTCCTTCTGATCTTAGTCTATCAGATCACAACAGGAGTGGCTGCATTGCCATCTTCTGTGGCCTGGTAAGGCTGCTCCCCGTCAGGGTGAGGTGATCAAAGAACAGGCCAATCAGATTATGTCAGAGACTGTCCCTCTTCCCATTACTATGTAACCCACTTAGACACTAAATTTCTATGGATTACATCTGCTCAGGAGTTCTAGGTTAACTCCATGCCTGGTACTTGGTTGGAGTATGGGTCTCTGGGAAGACCCCTGTGTTCAAATTTTCTCTCAAATGTTGCTCTCCTTGTGGGGTTCCTTCCTCTCCATAACCTACTATTTCCCACTTCTTACATAAGATTCCATGCACTTTGCGCAACAGTTGGCCTTAAAGTCTATTTACAGTAACTGCATTGATGTGAAAACCTCCAAGTTAAAAACTTAAATTAGAAAGTAAGAACATAGAGCCAAGAATGGCCAATATCTTCTTAAATAAGAACAAAGTGGAGAGACATGCCTGTTAGGATGTCTAGATGATTAAAATGCAATAGTAATCAAGGCAGCATTTTATTGGCATTAAAAAAACAAAAGAAGTAAATCAAACACTGTAGTGTGCTTGAAAATAATCTCTTGCAAATGGAAACTTGATTTATCACAAAAATATCATTGGAGAGAATTAATATCAATGACTTAAATATCAAAATTAAAAATATGAAGATTTTGGAATAAAACACAAAAATAATAAGATATCTATGTATCCTTTGGAATAAGTACTTTAATGTACAAGAATTTTACATAAATCTCCTAATCTGAATATTCTGCTCTTATGAAATAAATAATGTAAATAAAGTACATTAAATAAAAACACTTCCACAAGAATGTTCATATGTTTCACTCAAAAAAATGTAATAATGTCTCGCCATATAGTGATACAATTTTATGTGTTTCTCCAAAGAGATCAAATGTGCTAGATATTTTATATTATTGTATATGAACTATATCACAATTTAAAAATATTAAATCTGTAGGACTATAGATGTTGGGGTAATCAGAGATATGCTTTCATATATATAATGAATTGTAAGTAAATGAAAGCGATACAAAAAATTCGGGAGAGAGAATGGGAGAGGAAACACACTGGTTTTCATAGAATTTGAAAATACAAATTAATCAAATTAACACTCATTTATTTAAACATCATTATGTCATATCTAAACTGAAAGTTGGATCAAAAGAAAAGATACCTTGAAAACATAAAAATATGAAATGTACAGAGATAAATGGCATGAGATTCACTGAGTAGGCATAGCACAAAAAAAGAGAGAAGTAAAGGAATGGTTGGGACAATTTTAAAGAGGTAATAGTCTAAATCTGGCCCCATTTATTGAAGGATATAAAGTTACAATTACAAGGAAATTCATAAACTCCAGCAAGATAAGTTGAAAGAATTCAAAGTTGTGTGTTTGTTATCATTAGATTTTCGCTGAATGGAATACTAACAGATGTTCATAAAATTAAAGGAAAATTATTCTAGAAGGAAGGTTGAAATTACTAATGAAAATAATAAATAAATAAATGAGTCATGTTGATTTTGTATTAAATATACAAATAATAATAACAGTGACTTATAAAGAAAATAATATGGTCTACATTAATCTATGTAAGTTGATATGGAAAATAGATAATATTCTATATACTTTCATTATTAAGGAACATATCAGCATTAAAATTTCATACATGAAGGATACAAAATGACTGAGAATTGTTATATCTTCTGGGAATGTTAAATGTACAATTACTTTAATAAATTTGACAATGTCATATAAACATAAATATTCATACCATATACTCTTCTGTTTCTAATTTTTATGAAGAATTAAAGCATAGTTATATAAATAGTTAATGCAATTTTTTGAACACTTTTATAATAATTGTTGAACACCGAAAACAATTCAGATGCCCATTAACAAGTGAATAATAATAAATTGGTTTATCTTAAAACTATGAATTCCCATTGAAATCAAGAAATGTACTTTCAAGATAGATGAAACGAGACTAAATCTAAACTATTACACTGGATTGTATCCAGACACAAATAAGTACATAGTATATGATAATGACATGAAAGTGGGTAGGGGGCAGAGACCAAGGAGAGGGTGTTAGGTACATAAAAGAGTCTATGGGGAAAAGTAATGTCAGCTTCCCTTATCATGAATGCAGTTTGGTAGAAGAGACACATTTTAATAAGTAAGTGTACTAGAAGTTCTCATAGAAAATGAAAAAGTCAGGCAGTTTTAGCTTAGTTCTTGAAGAAGGGCTTTCTAAAAGAGTCTTCTTTTATAATTTTTTATTAATTACAGTTTATTCACTTTGCATCCCCCCATAAGCCCCTACCTCCTTCCTTCCCGGTCCCACCTTCCCTCCCCCTTCTTCGCGCACACCCCTCCCCAAGTCCACTGATGGGAAGGTCCTCCTCTCCTTCCTTCTGATCTTAGTCTATCGGATCACATCAGGAATGGCTGCATTGTTTAAGAGAGAATTACTATGAGGCTGGCTCTCCTTTTAAAAGCTGAGATACTGCATGAAGTATAAAAAATGCTTGATTGAGAGCCCTTCCAACTCTGACCAGCTAACAGGTCCAGTTGGGCATCAAAGGCTAAAGCTTAAAACTGTCCATTGAGATAAGATGTAGAAGCATTTAAGGTGCAGTATAGTTGCTATAGATATGCTCAGGTTAATCTGTTCAGAGCCACAAATGAGGTGGCTTATTTCTCTCATAAAGCCCTACTCCCTTTTTTCTCTTTTTTTTTTTTCCTTGAGAACTTCATACAGGAGTGCTGAGTTTACATCACTCATACACTCCTTTCTTGGTATATTAGGTTTGGTGAGGTTTTGTGTCTATTATCAATTTTTTTATATAAGTACTAATATTGTAGTTGATCCTCACATTGTTTAAAATGTGTTTTGTTACTCAACTTTGATGCTATATTTGTGCAAAGGTGCACTTTGAGGGTCTTTTTGCAAGTTCTTCTCCAGTCCAGGTTTTCATGTGTACAGCAATGTGTAAGTAAGGAACTCAAAGGAGCAAGACAAGAGAAGAAGCACCAGGAGTGCTTACTCTCTCAGTTGAGTTAATAAACTCAGGGATTCCTCTTGTGATGTGTGAAGCATCTCACACCATCAGCATTTCATTCTGTGCCCCCACTTGACCCGGGCACATATTTCCCCTCCTCTTCAGCCTTCCAACAATCAGAAAGATATTGTGATCATTTCTCCTTCAAAGCTGATTGACTTTGGGAACATGAAAATTCTGGGATGCCTAATACTCACAAATGGGGAGAAAGAAGATACACAGAGAGTAAAGGAATTACAAAGATATAAAACAAGTAAGTGGCAGCCAAGAAGCTCTGGTTTTACAAAAGCTCACATGGTAAAATGATTCAGTAGTTTAGATTGCCCAGAAAGCTCAGAAACCCAAAATTTGATGCATCTACAGAAACACATTCCATATTTGTTTGTTGCATTATTAGAAGAACATCACAAAAAAGAGAAGTAAAAATCAGACTGAATTTAAGACTATGCTCTGAATCATGGCGTCAGTTTCAAGTTTGTCAAAGGAAAATTACCAGCACTGGGAGAAAGGTAAACAAAAGGAGGATGCAAGGAAAACACTGGAGAAGAAAAGATTCTTCTTGAGTCTTTACACGCCTATCCTGGAGATGAAGGAGTAAAATTTCCCTTCCTGTTTGGTCACAGAAAGAACACTGAGATCAATCAGTAGGCTAATCACTAGAGGAAGCGAACTTAGCTCAAAAGTAAGTCTTTCTAATTTAGAGGCTATCTTATAACAAAATTGATTACTTATTCTTCAGCAGAAATGCTTAGTCACACTAAGAGACAGTTTTGGAGTGCATTAAAGAATCTTATTCTTATAGCAGTTGGAAGAAAGTGTTTGCTATGTTGATCTATCCAGCCTTGACATCCTGTAAAATTTACTTTAAAATGGGCCATTACTTGAAGCAAAGGGAAAGTAAAATAATAATAATAACAACAACAACAACAACATAAAAGTACAGCAGGCTACTCGACAGACACCAAAACTTATGGGCCCTTAGTGAAATGAAGCACATCCTTTCAGGGGGGCAGTTGGTGACCTGCATTAAGTACACTGCTCGTGTCTTCCAGTTGCAACTGGCTCTTGACTTTTCTCTCCTCAGGTGTCACCACTGTTCTCACCATGACCACCTTGAGTATCAGTGCCAGAAACTCATTACCTAAAGTGGCATATGCGACGGCCATGGACTGGTTCATAGCCGTTTGTTATGCCTTTGTATTTTCTGCACTGATTGAATTTGCTACTGTCAACTACTTCACCAAGCGGAGTTGGGCTTGGGAAGGCAAGAAGGTACCAGAAGCCCTGGAGATGAAGGTGAGTGGCAGCAAAAAAGGGCCAGGAAGCACTTTCTGAGAGATCTGTATTGGGACCAGAAGTGAACAGCCTGTAGCCCGCAGAAACTCAGCAGGGCTATGCTCTATTCACTGGGGTCATCAATCCAATTCTCAACTGGAGTGCTTCTTGCTAATCTGTAGTTCAACTAGGAACAATGAAAAGAAGGCATGTAGGGCTTATGTCTTGTGGTGTTGAGTAAAATATAAATGTGATGCTGCTAGATTCTGGAGAAACACTTTGGTACTTAAAAAGCAACCCAGAAGCTTGGAATCTTTTCTATATCTGAAGCAGAGTCTCTAAGAACACTTCTAGAGCTCATTCTTTCAAACCCAAATAAAACATTACTTCCTCTCTAGAGCCTGTCAGGAGCAATGGAGACAAATTTGGCTATTATTTGTGTGGGTACTCTGATAATCTAGTTCTATTAAAATTACTCATTTGCCTCCTTATTAAGTTGTGAACATCTTGAATATTGGAGTTTATCTTCATCTTGACACAACATCTGAATAAGAGTGAAAGATAAAGAGATATTGGCTAAATAGGTAGATAAAGAACATAGAGTAGACAATCTCACTGGATTGATAGGAATCAATTATGAATAAGATCAAGTATCTCGATAGTTTGATTGAGTTGAGGTATCTAAACCTAAATGTACATCTCTGTTAGGGTTTCTAGTGCTGTGAAGATACATTGTAACCACAGCAACACTTGTAAAGGAAAACATTTAACTGGAGCTGGCAGGAAGCTTGGCAGTACATAGGCAGACATGGTTCTGGAGAGGTGGCTAAGATATGCCAGCAGCAGAGAGTGAACTGGCATGAGCTTCTGAGACCTCAAAGCCCATAGCCTAGTGACACACTTCCTTCAACAAATCCATACCCTCTCCAACAAGGCCACACCTTTGAACAGTGACACTCTCTAAGGGCCAAGTATTCAAACACATGAGTGTATGGGAGCCATTCCTATGTAAACCACTATAATATACATTACAGTATTCTTCAAAGGACTAGAAATATAACTAAATAATTAGTCTTCAAAGAATCATAGAAAAGAGAAATGGCACTGAAGCCTTTTCAAGCTGAGGTAAAAGGTGAAGGTGTATAGAAAAGAATGTTTTTATAGAAAACATTCTTTATAGAAAAGAATGTTGAGTTTGCAATCTTTGAAAAACAGTAATTACTTACCTAACCAGAACTTATTAACTGTGGAGTAAATGAAGAAAAACTCTGTCTCTCCTTCCTTCATCTACTCTACCATAGGATTTTTTGTTTATTTTATTATTGTGCTTTCTGTAGTTATTACATTTTTTATCCTTGCCATATATTGACTATTCTATATTTTAATTTGATGATTATGATTGCAGAATATTGAACTCATCTACAAAACATAAGGAAATTGGTGTACTTACCCTACTTCTCACATTATCTTTTCTATTTATTGTTCAACTTTGTACTAGTGATATTGAGACTCTGTCAAGTTTATATAATTATATGCAACCATAATTTCTGTCATTATTTAGTCATAGTTTTACATTTAAGTGTGATATTTACTCAAAAGTCAGTATTTTAAATAACTACTCTCTATTAACTTTATAGTTATTTCAAAGTTGCTGTCCAGAAGTTGCTTAAAGTCTCATTGGAACAATATTTCCCATTCTCTTGCATGTGCAACCTACCTTTTGAATGTCTTTAAAATGAATTGTACTTGTGGTTTTGGTAAGTCTATAGTTCATATCCTCTTTCTCTAATACTTCACAGGAATCACTTTATTCTCAGTGTTGGCATTGAATACCATTATACAGCCATAGAGCCAACCTGGAATTTTCTCATATCATTGAAAAATGATGTAGATATCCATGTAAATATACCTTTCATTTGTGAAGTTATACTACATTGTCTTATAATGGATTTTATTAGTTCTCTGAGACTTTCATGCAATGTGTTTTGATCATATTCACTCTCTCCCCTAGTGCTTCCCATATCCCCCTGCCTTTACCCACCTAGCAAACATTTTTGTATCCTTTTGTTTTTAAACCTTTCAAGACTAGTTTGTATTGTCAAATATTCTTAGATATGTTTTGTGTTTTCTTCTGCAAAATAGGAAAGGAAGGAACATTTCTCAATTCCTTTTCTGAAGATACTGTTACCCTGATACCAAAACCAAAGAACCTACCCAAATAAGAAAATTATAGAGCAAAATCTCTGATGAACATTGGTGAAAAAAAATCTCAATGAAATACTTATACACATAAATAAAAATAATTTCAAAGGAAATTATCTACCATGTTCAGACAGGCTTTATCTCAGAGATGCAGAGATGATTCAACATATGTAAATCAGTGAATGTAATCTACCACATAAATAAACTAAAAGATAGAAATTATATGATCACATCAATAGACTAAGAAAAAGCCATTGACATCCACCATGTTAAAAGTCCTAAAGAGACTAGGGGTATAAGAATCATATGTCACAGAGTCAAGATGGCAGCACTGAGTAGGGTGACCGGTAGGCCATCTTCTGGACCCCAAAACCCCAATGTCTGTGTTTCTCAGGTGAGAGGAAAATCCATGGGGCTATGTGAAGGTACATCTTCAGGCCACTCAGCTAATACTGGCAAAAATTCTCAGGCTTCTACCTGTCACTGCCACAGCCTTAGGCTACACACCCAATTTCAACATCAGCCAATACCTTCCTGAGACTGCTGGCAGCTCTCTAGGCTCTGACCCTGCATCCCTAGGCTACTTGCCCAAACACACCATTGGTGGATACCTTCTCAGACAGGGGCAGGAACCCTGCACCCTTAAGACACCCACCTCCCAAGCCCAATTTTTGGTAGATATCTTCTTGGAACCAGAGCCTGGCAGCTCTGACCTTGGCCGCTCACTCTCACTGCCTGTGGACTGAACACCTTCCCATATTGTGGGTGAGAATTCAAACCTGAGTGCCCACTCTCAATCCTGTGAACACCTTCTTGATTGCAGCAGTTGGTGCTGCTTTCACCACCCAGTGGAGGGGACAAATTTTGGTACTGTGGAGGAAGAAAGGATCCATTCTGCCTACTCCTTTCCTGCCTGGTTCTCTTACCTCAAAATCAACCAGCACAGCACAGCACAGTGAACACAGCCCTACAGAAGATACTAGAAGGAAAACTTCAACACAATGAGATCAACTGCACCCAAGGAAAGACAGGATAAAGACACCATCATATAAAAAAAAAACAAATGAAAACAAACACACAATCACCATCAACTCCACAATAAAAGGAACTAACAATAATTAGTCACCAATATCTACTAACATAAATGGTCTAAACATAAATAACTAAACACAAAAGAGTATACCTTATTCTCAACACCTCATGGAAAGCCTCCAAAATTTATCATATAGTTGGACACAAAAAAGCCTCAACAGATACAAGAAGATTGAAATACTCCCTTGTATCATATCAGAACACCATGGTCTAAAATTAGAAATTAACAATAACAGAAATAACAAAAAGCCTACAAACACATGGAAACTGAACAACTCTATTCAATGGCACCTGGGTCAGAGAGGAAATAAAGAAAGAAATGACTCCTAGCACTTAATGAAAATGAAGTGCTTACTCCAACTTATAGAACATAATGCAAGAACTGCTAAGCGAAAAGTTCATAGCACTATGTGCCTTCATAAAGAAATTTGAGACATCTCCTACAAGAATCTTAACAGCACACCTGCAAGAACTAGAAAAAAAAAAAGGAATCAGACACACCTAACAGGAGTAGACAATTGGAAATAATATAACTCAAGGTTGAAATCAATAAATTAGAAACAAATATAACAATTCAAAGAATCAATGAAACCAAGAGCTGGTTCTTTGAGAAAATCAACAGGATAGACAAACCCTTTGCCAAACTAACTAAAGGCAGAAGGACACTGTCGGAATCAACAAAACAAAAATGAAAAGGGTGACATAAAAACAGACACTGAGGAAATCCAAAGTTGGAATAGCAACTTTGGTCCTACTTCAAAAGCCTATATGCAACAAAATTTGAAAATGTAAATAAAATGGACAATTGTCTTGACAGATTCCATTTACCAAAGCTGAATCAAGATCAGGTAAATAAATTAAGTAGTCCTATATCCCCTAAGGAAATAGAAGCTGATATCAAAAGTCTCCCATCCAAAATAAAAACCCAGGGCCAGACGGTTCAGTGCAAAGTTCTACCAGGCCTTCAAAGAAGAGCTAAAATCAATATTATTCAAACTATTCCACAGAAGAGAAACAGAAGGAACATTACCAAACTCATTCTATAAGGCCACAGTCACATTGATGCCTAAACTGCATATAGACCCTACAAAGAAAGGGAACTTCAGACCAATCTTGCTTATGAACATTGATGCAAAAATACTCAATAAAAATGAATCCAAGAACATATAAAAGATATCATTCACCACGACCAAGTACACTTCATCCCAGACTTGCAAGGGTTGTTCAACATACAAAACCTCATCATGAAATCCACCAAATAAACAAACTCAAAGAAAAAAACAAAACAAAAACAAAAAACAAAAAACAAAAAACATGATCATCTCCTTAGATGCCGAAAAAGCATTTGACAAAATTCAACACCCATTCACCTTTAAAGTTTTGGAGAAATCAGGGCTACAAGGCACATAAGTAAAAATAGTGAAAGCAATATACAGCAAGGCTACAGCCAACATGAAACTAAACAGAAACTTTAATCAATCACACTGAAACCAGGGAAAAGGCAAGGCTGCCCACTCACTCCGTATCTCTTCAACATAGTACTTAAAATCCTAACTAGAACAAAAAGACAATTAAAGGAGATCAAGGGATTCAATATGTTGAGGAAAAAGTCAGTATCACTATTTGCAGATTATATCATAGTATACATGAGTGACCCTAAAAATTCTACTAAAGAAATGCTTCAACTGATAAACATCTTCAGCAAAGTGGCTGGATGCAAAATTAAC